GCGTGCGCGACCGGCCGCGTCGTGCACCTCCATCATCACGCGCAAGGTGACCATACATGGCTTTCGACGCTGCCCACAGCTACCGCAGTCGCTGTCGCCGCTGGAACCAGGCCGATCGCAGGCATCGTGGGAGCAGTGCCGTCAGCATAGTGGGCGCCGACTCGCTGCCTGCCCGTCTGGTACGAGCAGCTCGCTGCTGCATCCTTCGGAAACGAAACCATGCCTACCGCGCAGTATCCTCAGCTGCCTAGAGGTCTCCCGTGCGGTGCGAACAACGACCGCGGTGCTGCCATCATGAGGAGCGCTCCCTCAGAGTCGCGCGAAGCCGGCGGGCATCGCTCACGTAGTCCACCAGTGCAGTCCGCCGCTCGCTCTCGTCTCTTCTCTCGCTCCTCTCTCTCTCTCCTCTGCTCTTCTCTCTTCTCTTCTCTCTCTCTGCTCTCTCTCTCTCTCTCTCTTCTCTCTTCTCTCTCTCTCTCTTCTCTCTCTCTCTCTCTCCTCTCTCTCTCTCTCTCCTCTCTCCTCTTCTCTCTCTCTCTCCTCTCTCTCTCTCTCTCTCTCTCTCTCTCTCTCTCTCTCTCTTCTCTCTCTCTTTCTCTCTGTCTCTTCTCTCTCTCTTCTCTCTCTCTCTTTCTTCTCTCTCTCCTCTCTCTATCTTCTCTTCTCTCTCTCTCTCTTATCTCTCTCCTCTCTTTATCCTCCCGCCCACGGCTTTACAACATGTTCGCAAAGGGGCGACTCTCTCTGTCTTCAAATTCTCAGATCCGCCCCTGCTTTTCCCTCTGCTTCTTCCCAAACTCTCTCTCTCTCTACTCTCGTCCTCTTCCGTTCTCTCTCTCTCTCTCTTTCTCTTTTTGCCTTCTCCTTTCTCCTCTCCTCTCTCTCTCTCTCTCTCTCTCTCTCCTCTCTCTCTCTTCTCTCTCTCTTCTTCTCTCCTCTCTCTTTCTCTCTCCTCTTCTCTCTGTCTCTCTCAACTCCTTCCGCTCCCTTCCTCTATCTCTCCTCTATTCGTTGCTCTCTCTTGGGTCCTCTTCGCTCTCTCTCTCTCTCTTTGCATGCGCTCTCTCTTCTTATATATATTATATCTGACGCATCTCTTGTCTCGCTCGTGTGGGAAGGGAAAAGTATTGGGTATATGGGCTCATTTTGTTAGTGCCCTTAACTCTTCTATGCAATCTGACCTGTGCCAGTGTTAGCGAATGAATCACAATAACACAGACATTTCCGATTTTGATTTTTTGGCATTTGTCAAATTTTTTGGCCTTTTTTTGGGCATTTATAGCACTTATCTGCTCTCTGTCTTATTCTCAATTCATTCCTTAACCTGGCACAGTCACATTGCATCAAACAGCTTCAATCACGATGGCGCTCATAGAGCGCAGCGATCCACAGGAGAGAGGGAGGGAGATCGCAGATATGATCCGAAAGCATCAAAAAAAACAACCCAACAAAATCCAAAAAGAACCAAAAATTCCCCAGAAATCCAAAAAAATCCGAAAAAACCCAAAACATACAAAAAAATACAAAAACCCAAAAAATCAAAAAAATCAAAAAACAAAAACAAAAAAAAACAAAAAAAACAAAAATACAATAAAATACAAAAATCCAAAAAAATACAAAAAACCAAAAAATACAAAAAAAACAAAAAATCCCCCCAAAAAAAAATACAAAAAAACAAAAAATCAATAAAAACAAAGAAATCACACAAAAAACCCAACAAATCACAAAACAAAAATCAAGACAATCAAAAAACCAAGTCAAATTCAACTGAAAATCAATTCCCCCATCATGGCCCTTCATCGTGGGCCCTTCATGGCTGCCACGGAGTGGCTGTTGGCCTCTAGTAATGTATATATCTCTTCTCTCTTCATTCCTCCATCCCTCCCTCTCATTCTCTCTCTCTCTCTTTCTCTCTCGCTCTCCCAATATATATAAATCTCTTGCGGGGGCGGGGCGTGATGACGTGCGGGGGGAAGGGGAGGGGGCGTGATGAAGTGCGGGGGAGGGGAGAGGGGCGTGGCGACGCGCAGGGGAGGGGCGTGATGACGCGAGGGGGAGGGGCGTGATGACGCGCGGGGGGAGGGGAGGGGCGTGCTACTATGGCGGGCATTACTACAACGACCACTACTTTTACGAAAACACCGCGAGATCGGCAATATGCATGTGCATTTCGAGACTCGAGAAAAATTTCACGAAACATTTCCATCGCAGATTCTGTAAGGAAGTGCGCCATGGACAGTGAAAAACACGGACCACGAGAGAGAGAGAGGGGGCTTCAAATAAATAATCTGTAAAACTATGAGATCATAGAGACACAACTCCTAATGGATCGTTCTGGTTGCAACAGCAGACCCAGCGAGGTTGGTGCCGGCCTTGCTCGCCGACCAAAACCCTATCACGTCACACCTAACCGCGCGGTGACGTCACCACAATGATCATTTCGGTGACATCACCTCAAGAATTTATGCCGTGACGTTACAACATCAGTTGTAGCATGACG